AAAAAAAAAAAAAAAGAGCCACAATGCCCTTGAATCCTTATTGTACTGTTCTTGGTGACCAGGTGGGAGAGGGGTAGACCCTGGAAGAGTCCTTTTGTTATTACCTTTCTTGTGTGGAACTCCTTTAGGTATAAGGTAATAAGGGTTAAATTGTTAATCCTGTGCCAGAGATCACTTTCACTGCGTCTTCAGTATCTCTCCTAGTTTGTCTGCTCTTGGTTTCTTGGTTCTCTGTGGGGTATCAGAGAGTGGCTCAGGGATCATTAGTCACCTTCCTATTCAGTTATCACCAGTATCGCCCTCCCCTGTGAGCCCATCCAGCTTCACCCCATTCCCCTAAACTACCTGCTGATACCACCCTGTCCCACTGGTTTGATATGCAAGCCCCTCCTACAGGGGCATTCTGGGGCCACCACCAGAGAGTTCCACCTGTGTGAATTCTCTCTTTTCAGCCTACCTTTCCCCCCTTTATCTTATTGGGGCGTCCCTTCTTATTCTCATTCTTCCTGGCTGCATTTTCTTCTCCACTTTTAGGCCTCCTCATCTCCTTTTGTTCTGCCCACCAGCCCACCTCCAGTCTTTCCCAACTTCAGAGTTTCGTGGCATCTGCTCAGGGGCAAAAAACCCAAAAATGAACAGGGACTCATTTCCAGAACCATAGGCAAAAGTCTTTAGCACTTTATATGTATCTTTTTTAATCTAACCACTGCCTTAATGGGTACCAGGATTATTTCAGTTTGCAAAATGTTGCTCATCTAGCTCACTTAAATGGTTTGGATTTTAACATGTGGCCCACCACTTTATTTTATATTGTACTAGGTAAACAATCTACACTATAATATTAGTAGGCTATTGTGTCATGTTTTAGAAGGTTTTAAAAATTTTTTGTGTGAAAATGGACTTTTAACCAAGATTTGGACAGTTTTCATAAGTTATTTGTAAAGTTCATTTCTTACTACCACTTACTCTGTACATTAAATGAGGTTTCTTTTACCATTTCATTCAATAGAAGCTGAATAAATAATTCCAAAGAGTTTACTAAAGTCCAGGGCATTCATGTTTATCCATAGACTAGTTCATGGGCATTTTCCCATTAAAATTGTCAGTATTACCCAGTTAGCACCAATGTTAGGGTTCCTGATTTGTATTTTTAATAGTTAACAGAATATGTATCAATACCAGTAAATTTTAGAAAAACCTCTGACAATTCTGTGAACTAATAAGAATTCTTTAAAAACTGAAATTCTACTTAAAGGTAGTAACTTTAACACATTGACTGCCACACTCAGAAAAAAACTTTTTCTTTGGGACCATGGTGTTTTATTAGGTCAAGAGATTTGTGAGTTTATAGATGGTTCACAAGGCCCTGAGCTCAAAACTAGTGTGAGTTAAATAGAACTCACGTGGTAGTTAATGTGTTAAAGTTAGTCATCGTGTTGATTCCAGGGAGGCAGCTGCCATTCCATCATTACAGGCATTCTGCCTGTACCACAGACATTAACAAAATCACCCTGCATATCTCTTCGCAGGGCATGCAGGGTGACTGAGTAGAAAACATCTCTTCTGAGTATAATCTGTGGAGCTTGCTTTCACTCAGGGCCTACGTGAAGAACTGCCTGATTTAAAAATCACTTGGCATATTAGCATTTTATTCTCTCATATCAACCTGAACAGAATGATCTGAATTGCACATTTATATAAAGAAAAGAAATATTGTTCCTATCTAGTAATACAACTGTAATCTCAAATTATTTTATTATTGAGGTGACCTGGTCTAAACATTACACTGCCTTCTGTGGACAGTGGCAAACTGTCTATAATTGTCTTGCAAACTGAACTTTTTTGAATCCAGGAAGCTGTATTTAGTAATTAAACTGTCATAGATTTCCAGAAATGGGCATATTATCAAACAATTAGAATTTAGTTTTGCCTTTGTTATTTCACAATGTAATTAGGGTATAAAAATTAATGATGTGGTCTAATATCACATATTCCAGATTTGGACTTTAGGAAACACCTGACTTATGCGGAATAGCAAAACAAACAGGCTCCTCCTCTCTCTCCCTCCCCCCAGCCCACCCATGGTGCATAGAAGAAATATCCTCTGGTGAGGACTGAAAATGCCATGTTTGGCTCGG